GGGCACCATCTAGTTCCTCTGGTCTCAGGCTGATGAAGTCTCTGGTTTATGTGGCCCTTTGTGTCTCTTGGGCTAATACTTTCCTTGTGTCTTTGGTGTTCTTTGTTCTTCTTTACTCCTAGTGGTTGGGACCAATTGATGCATCTTAGATGGCTGCTTGCAAGCTTTTAAGACCCCATACGCCCAAAAAAAAAATAAATTTCATTTCTAAAAACTATCAAGAAATACTTAGAAAATGAAACTTAAAACAAGATAATGTTTATAATAGCATCAAAAAATATGAAGCATATACAGTAATAAATCTAACAAAACATGTGCAAGGCTTGGAGGAAATTATTATAAAGCTTTACTAACAGACATTAAAGAAGATCTAAATAAATGGAGAGTTATATTATATTTACGAATTGAACAATTTAATGTTGTAAACATTTTAATTCTCCCCAAATTGGTTTATAAATGTATTGCAGTCTCAATCAAAATACTAGTATAGTTTTATCCCCATATTAACAAGCTGAAAACTCAAAAAAAAAAAAAAAGCCAAAAACCAAACCCATTGCCATCGAGTCGATTTCAACTTATAGCGACCCTATAGGACAGAACAGAACTGCCCCATAGGGTTTCCAAGGAGCAGCTGGTGGATTCAAACTGCTGACCTTTTGGTTAGCAGTCGAGCTCTTAACCACCACACCACTGGGGCTCCATATGAAAGCTCAGAGCGCAAAAAACAGCCAAGATACGCTTTAAGGGAGAAGAACAAGGTGTGAGTCCTTATTATTAACCTAAAGAAATCCAGACTTATTATTAAACCAAGTACTTAGGTTGGGGGATACTAGTTCACTGATAGAAAAACAGACCAATGTAATAGAGAGCCCAAAATAAACTCATACATATTTAGATATGAATGAATAAGACTTTTTAATAAAATAGTATTGGGAAAATTGAGTATCTACACAGAAAAATGTGAAATTAGACTCCCACTTTATATCATACACAAAAATCAATTCCAGGGGAATTGAATGTCAAAGTATGAAAGACTAAATAAGAAATATTTGGAAGACAATATAGCTAAATATGTTCATAACCTTGGGATAGAGAACGATTTCCGTAATCAAGACACAGAAAGCACTAAACATAGAAGAAAAAACAAATTTCACTTCATTAAAATTAAGAACTATTGTTCACTAAAGGCACCAAATAGAGGGTGAAAAGACCATCTACAGGGTAGGAGATATCTGCCACACATGGTATCCAGAAAAACTCCTATAAATCAGCAATAAAAAATCAGAGAACTCAACAGAATCTACTTGAATAGGCATTTAAGGAAAGAAGAAATCCAAAAGGCTAAGCAAGAGACAAATCTCATCAGTGATCTAGAAAATGCAAATTAAAGCTACATGTGATACTGTTACCTTCCCCCAACACTCAGTTGACAAAACTAGAAAACTATGACAATCCCATGAGGACGTGGAACCACAGGATCTTTTCTATATGACTGGTGGGAGAGTTACAAAATGACTTAGAGTTATCTGATAATGTTGAAGGTGAACACACCCTAACCTGCTGCTGTCCAGTAAATTCTGACTTATAGGGACTCTACAGGACACAGCAGAACTGCTTCACTCATAGAGTTTCCAAGGCGGTAAATCTTTATTGAAGCAGACTGCCACATCTTTCTCCCATGGAGCGGCTGGTGGGTTGGAACCACGACCTTCTGGTTAGCAGCCGAGTGCTTAACCACTGTGCCACCAAGGCCCCTTTGAACACACCCTACAGCACAGCAATGCCCCTCCCGCTTTTTCATACACGAGAACCACAGCACATGTTCACATGTTTTCTCATAGAAAATAAAATAGAGTGCTCATAGAAGCATCATTCTTAATTGCCAAAAAGTAGAATCAACTCAAATAGCCAACAATAATAATAAGTGAACTGTGGTATATTACTATAATGGAATACACAGCAATAAAAATAAAGGATCTATAGCTATAGGTGGAGCCCTGATGGCACAGTGGTTAAGAGCTCAGCTGCTAACCAAAAGGTCAGCAGTTCAAATCCACCAGTTGCTCCCTATGGGGCAGTTCTATTCTGTCTTATAGGGTCGCTATGAGTCTGACTTGACTCGATGGCCACGGGTTTGGTTTTGGTTTTTATAGCTACAGGTAACCACATGGAAAAATCTCACAAACATAACACTGTGTTAAAGGAACAAGCCACACAATAGTAACTACAGTATTATTCCATCTATATATAGTTCAAAACCAGGCATATGTAGGTAAAGCTATAGTGAAGCTGTCGAGAAAAGCAAGGCAGTAATTATCACAAAGCTCAGGAAGGTGGAGATATGGGGGAGGGAAGGAGATGTGATGAAGGAGGAGGGTATGATTAGTAGGAAACCAGGGGGGCTTCTGGGGAGATGACAATATTCTATTTATTAAACTGGCTGATGGGT